TTTTCATTCATTGACAGTATTCTACTTACTTTGAAGAATGTCATGTTTAAGTGTTTCCTGATACAATTTAATTTGGAAGGTCATTTCTAAATAATATCAGAGGATTCCAGATATGAAAATATAACATGTCATGAATATATATTATTATGTTGCCTGTTTTGTTCATGTTGCATGTTGTACTTTTTGTGTGCCAGGGCAATGAGTAGGCAATGTTGTGTTTGGCAATAGATGAATATGTTAAACACAGGGTATAGAAATGTTGCTTCTAATCAGCACTAGAAACATTTTGATGAAACCCGGTATGAACGTTCACATGTAACCAAATAGTGTTGATGTTGATCTCGTTTTACATAACATTGCATCATGGGAGTTTAGGGTCTATTATGGCGTCATCGTTTCGCCGTAGTAGGCAGATTGTCAAATATACAAATTTTTACATGTTCATTCATCACGCATGTACTGTAATGCTAAAACAATGCATTGTGTATTGTCCTATAATACATAAGTGATATTGAGAATGGTGAGCAGAATTAAGCAGCCACTGTAAACAATCACTAGAAAACGTTATCTGATTGAATACATGACTGATTTGAACAATACTGCGTCACTGAAAATTACAGATATTTGGCAGTCTACATGCCTACATGGCTTAGAAATCTTGTGTAAGCTAGCTGTCTCAGTGTAAACTAATTATTGGAAACACCAATCCACTTTATTTCCTACATTTACGGATCTACCCAAACAAAGTTAATACATTTAACAGCGTTTGATGTCACAATGTACTCAACCCACACAATATATCCAGCCATTATACAGCAAACCAATGCCCTATTATATACAATTATCGAGAGAAACTAATTGAATACCAGAACTATTTTTGGGACGTATAACCCAAGTAGTTCCTAAAAAAATATTGTTGCGATCAAGGATGAAAACGCCCAATCAATTTTGCCAAATGGTTTATAGGAAATTACCCAAATGTTTCCCTATAGGCAACGGTTCGCTACGCAAATAAAAACCTAACACTATTGTTTGTAGAATAGATTAAAAATATAAGTGCTTGCAACACAGCTAAGGGAATCCCTCTGTACCATGGATAGACAAGTTTCCAAGATGCTACTTATACACAGCTGAATAATTCACTAACTTCTGAAGAGCTCTCGTTGATGCAGGGAAGAATGTTATCACTCTATGTAACACGGTATTGCAATTTGAAAAACACTCAATGATTGACGTTGATCTATCGCCATCATATATTGACTAAAAAACGTACTTGAATACGCCAAGTTTAAATATCGCAAATCTGTTCACTATATGAATAAATATTAATCATTCAACCACTCGAATATATGACATAA